GTGATGGATATTACATATTGATATGGATATGACATGTTCCTCAGTAATTTGATAGTCAAGTAATAGTGTGATTTGACAGTTATTTAATGATTAAATTTGACAGTAATGTACTAATGAGGTTTGACACTTCTATAATGATGCTATTTATAATTTATGTAACATTATAATTGGAAAGTTATATAATGATGTAATGGTGGTCCTCTATTTTCCCATAACACTGATTTTCATATGATGACCTGGTCTTTGGAACTTCAACACATGCTAAGTGGAGCTAATAAACAAATGAATAATGTCATGAAAATTTAGTTCATTTATAGTCTGTAACATGTTGTGCTGCTAAAGATCTAGGTTCTTTGAATTCACCAACAGCTCCACAGAAGAAAGGTAGGCAGTCTTCTCCTAAAAAGATTTATAGCTTCAGAAGTTGATGGAGAGTCTCTGTGAGTAGGGATTGACTTGATTAGAATAAGTTTAAGTTTGAAAATGCAAAACACGTGCAACCATTATGGAAGGCAGTATGGTGCTTTCTCAAAAAGTTGGAAATAGAAATAACATTTGACCCAGCAATTCCACTACTGGGAATATACCCTGAAGAAACCAAAACTGAACTGCCACCCAAACAGATAAATGCACACCCATATTTATTTCTGTGTTGTTCACAATAGCAAAGAGGTGGAAGCAACCCAAGTGCCCATCAACGAACGGATAGAGAATCTGTGGTATATTCACAAAATGGAATACTATGCAGCACTAAAAAACAAGGAACTCATAAAATATACAAAATGGGTGTCTCCAGAGGATATTATGCTGAGTGAAATATCTCAGTCACAAAAGGACAACTATTGCATTATGCCTCCCTCTGTTATAAAACAGGACTGACTTGGGGGGCTGGGGGAAACTAAAAGAAGAGGGAGTAAATAATGAACACTGCATTGAAACAGATGAGGGAAAGAATTGCTTAAAAGGATATATGATTATGCATTAATTTAATGACAACAGTCCAGAATGAACCGGGAGAAGGGGGAAATTGTGCAACAATAAATGAATTTTTTTAAAGAGAAAAGAAACCTGGGCTGGTAAGGGAGAAAAATGTGTGACAATGCATGAAAATCCAAGTTTTCTGTAAACTTTCATTAGAAATCACAATTAAAATATTTTAAAAATAGAAAATACAAAACATTGAAATGAAGTATGAAGGATATGACAAAATATTAAGAACATAAGAAATATTATGAGTTAGGGTTGGGAAAGGAATGGGGAAAGAACGGATAGATAACAACACTACATTAAAACAGATGAAGGGAAGAACTGTCAGAAAGGAATATATGATTATGCATTATATATATGAGAACAATCTGAAATTGTGCATTGTGCAGCGGGTTGATGGAGGGAATGGGGAGAAAATGTGCAACAATGAATAAGTAAAAGGGGGAAAATGAATATTATAAGTAAACAAATACATTATGTGCCTACATGAAATAAGTAATATTGCAGATATATATATTTTCTCTGAGTTAGTCAACTTATAATAAGTGGAAAAGAGCAGAGTTTGTTTTGTTTAGTATATATGCAATAACTTAAAGCTAGTGTAACAAAACATTGAGCTTTTTAAATAATAATAAATCTATAGAAACTGAGACCTCATTTGTGGGAATCACTGGGACACCAGAGACTCTAGTGTTCTAGTGGAAAGAGCCTGTGCTGCAATCCCAATAGTATGTGGTTTGAATCCACTAGCTCCTCTGCAGGAGGCTAAACAGTCTCCTCCAGTGCAATTTACTGTTTCTGAGAATCCATGGGAGGGTTAGCTATGAGTCAGTTCAAACTCGATGGCACACAAAACCAAAACCATAGAAATTGAGACATTAATGTATATATAGAAATTCACCATATGATAGAGTTCACATTTCATATGAGTGAAAAATACGGGCTATTCAATATTGTTGTTGTTGTTGTTAGGTGCTGTTGAGTCAATTATGACTCATAGTGACCCTTCAAACAACAGATCTGAACAGTGTCCTATCCTGTGCCATCCTTAAGATCGCTGACACAGTTGAGCTCTTTGTTGTATTCACTGTGTCAATCCATCTGGTCAAAGATCTTCTTATCTTTCACCATTGCCCTGCCTTCCTAAGCATGATGTCCCTTTTCAATGAATAGCCTTTCCTAGCAAAATGCTCAAAATATTTAAGACGAAGCTTTGTCATCTTTGCATCCAAGGAGCATTCTGGCTGTAACTTCTCCAATACATATCAGTTTGTTCTCTTGGTAGTTAATGGGATATTTAGTACTCTTCTCTAACATCACAGTTCAAAGGCATCAATTCTTTTTTTGTCTACTGGGAATATACCCTGAAGAGACCATAGCTGACATCCAAGCAGATATATGCACACCCATGTTCATTGCAGCTTTGTTCACAATAGCAAGGA